AAAAAAAAAAGTAAAAATTCCCACTCACATTTGCACTCTCACACTCACCCATATCACAAATGCAAGCACCAATAAGCAGTGAGGAAGCAGCACACTCTCCATTACACCTCCTGTCCATCACTGCCAGGGACATTGCAGTTATGGATGAGATGGTTGCAGAGTAGTAAACAAACACTAAAGCAAAAAAAACAAAAACAAAAAAAAAAAAAATCCCTGGTTTTAGACAAAGTCCTCGCATTCCTTCAGATGGGCTACATTGTCTCCTTCATTCTGTTGTCTGGTTCAGCAGGATTACTCGGCGGCAGCAGCAGCTTCTGGACTGGCTGCCGTTTCTGGCTCAGTAGGTGAAGCTTCAGCTGGCTTTTCCTCTCCTGCGGCTTCCTCTGCCTTCCCCTCCTCGGCCTTTGGCTCCTCAGCTGCAGCTTCCTTGGCTTCCTCGCCGGCCTCATCTGGCTTGGCCTCTTCAGTAGGTGCCTCAGATGTCGCCTTCTCCCCTTCGGCTGGTTCTGCTGCTGCTCCCGCCACCGCACCGTCCTCTGTCGCCTCTTCGGACTCTTTCTTGGTCTTCTTGAAAGAGAAGCCACTGAGCTTGAAGGACGGTTTCTTGAAAGAGAAACGCTTTTTCTTCTGCTTGCCATCCTCGCTAGTAGATGGAGTGCCTTCCTCAGGTTTGGCAGAAGCTTCTCCATTTGTGGCGGCAGGCTCCTTCTCTCCATTGGCTTCGGCACCCTCTACCTTTTCACCTTCTTCTTTTGGTGCCTCCTCAGTAGGAGTGCTTCCATTGGCCTGCACTTCGGCTTTGTTGACTTCCTCTGTAGCAGGAGAAGTATCCCCGTTGGTCTTGGCATGGCCATTTTCCTGGAAGAAAACAGAATAAAAATGAAATTACTGAACATGAACTTATTTAAGTTCATTAGGTCAAACACACTCATAAGTGTGTGCAGGGCTATCCCCTGCAAAGCCTGGTGTCCTGTGATATTTAATTATACTCACAGACTAGCAGTAACCAATAAGAAAAAGCTCCTTAAACTGCAACAACATCTGTTACCAGGAGAGTGACGACAGATCTGTGGCTTACAGCAGTAGGCTAGTTGCTTAGACGGTAGTACAACCGGGATCCACGAGGTGGCGTTCAGATTGAAGCCAGTGGAAACAACATAGGAATTCGCAACCCCCCCCAATCATCTCATCCCTTCCTTTAAATGCCCCGTGTAGTCCACCAATGTGCACCATTTTAAAATTTTCATGCACTTAGCTCATCCTACTCTTTTCTGCTTTTTATAGTTTGCGGATTCTGCGGCCCGCGTCTGCAAAAGAACAAAAAAACCGTGGCTCATTTCGTCAATCTGGCAACAAAGGCGTGGTACCGTTTTTTAAAATGGCCATGCCACATTGAGAGCGGCCACAAACCCCTGCTGCACACATTTCAACCAAATGAATAAGCACAGGCGCAATGTTTAGACACAGGAGCCGCAGAACAGCTGCGATTATTTTACAAACAATTTAAAAAGAAAACGATTTTTAAATAATTCTGCGATCATCACTCACTGGAATAGTTGTGCAGCAACATTCAGGCATTTTTTTGTAGGATGAATTAAAAAAATACATTTGTGTATCAATTTAAATGATTTCACTTAAAAGTTTTGATATATAGTTTAAATGCGTTAGAGAAAATAACCTGAAACTGTGCATTTGCCGGTGAAAAACGTGCAGGCCTACATGTGGCCACTTTCCCTGAAAGCCGGTGAGCGTGGAGATGCGCTACAGGGAACATTGAGCACACCATTGACGCAACACATTGCTAAATTGAGGCAAAATTCCGCGTGCGCAATTAAGATCTGAATCATTCTTTTCAACAACAAAAAAGCCACAAAACTACCTGTCCGTTCGTTTTTGCTGCAACGGCTGCACCTTCTGCTGGCTGTTCCACGGCGGCTTCCTCTTTTCCAGCGGTTTTGGAGATTTGTGCTCCCATGCTTTTGTTCCAACAAAGGGACCCAACCGATGAAATGAATGAACAAAGACCGCAAGCTTCCTCCCCAGAAAAATCAAGTCAAACGCCGACTCCCCCTTCTGCAACCGAAACCGAGGAATCAGCACGGAATCACGATGACCACAAAGGGACGTGCGAGCGCTTGCACAAGGAAAAAGTAGCTAAGGTGCGAAAGACGCGAATTCTTTCGATTTTTTTCCCCGAACGGAGTTCCTTAATGGAGAAATTGGCCCTGCCGCAAATGAGATGCGGAGTACAACGCCCAAGTCCGCTGATGAATGGGCAATGGGGCTATGACGACAAAGCAATCCGGTCTCCACCAATCAAAAGTCCGAAATCCCAAAGAGTGGGGAGGTCATGGAGTGGCTGGGAGTGGGGGGGCACGGACAATAGGAGAGACACAAAAACATGGCTTACAACTTGTTTTTTCTTTTCTTTTCTTTTCCCAGAAACTTGATGTTCCGTGTTTTGGTTTATATTGAGCATAAGGTTTAGATTAGACATATCTGATGATTCTCCCCTGGAAAAGTGCAAAATATTTGCTTGCACATAAACATGGCCACTGATTTGCACTGAAAAATGTCTGTTCTCTGTACCGGTAAATATTTTGTTTTGTCTAATTTCTAAGTGCATGATAACGGCGATTGTGTGCAACACAGCAATCATGTATATTTTTTACATATGTGTAATATTTTATAGAAAACACGGCTTACACTTTAACCTAATTTGGCTGCAACAAAGAGCCCTAAAACTGTTCATCACAGCTTGTAAATGAATGCAAGCCCTCCAAACAACAGTATGTTCTGAAGGCTGGGTTGACTAAGCATCACTCAGCTGGTCTCACCTTATGTCATCATGGCACCCTACTGACATACGCCCCACTCAGTAAACAGACATCCCCTGTTACTATAAGCCCATGTGCCCAAAACTTCTCTTATCCCTCTTCTTGCATAATAGTGTCTTGTCTGCTCCTTGCAGCGGGAGCATCCCAGTGACCCAGATATAATGAGAGTTTATGGCTCTCTGCTGCTGTCTGCTCCAGCAGCCTGCAGTGCTCTAACTCCACCAGCAGCCACAAGTCTCCTCTCTCTGCTAGAGCTGCATGACCCACATCTCCATGGTTACTGTTAGTCCAAAATGGCTGCAAGGAAGAGGCAGTGCATTTGCTGAATAGGGCTTTAGAGATGGTGACTCTGGGAGGTGGAGAAGCAGGGTGAGAGTGGAGTGAAGACGGCCCGGCAAAGCACTCAGCAGTTTGTGGATTAGGGTGCCTTCTTTAACCCACCCTCAGCAGCCTAACTAGGCCACACTCATTGTTGTTATATTTTGATTAAATGCAAAGCTGTAGCATAATTATGATGAGCTGCCATAAATATGATAACATGGGGAGAAAGCATAAAGATGTTTGTTTAACTTTCATTCTTTTTAACAGGCCACATTTTTAAGTCAGCATCTACATTTATCAGTATCACAGTTTATTGTGATCATTTGTTTGCTTTTGTCAAATTCATAGAGTAGTTACACTATCCTAGTTAAATAAAAATAAATACAAAATATAGAGTTTTAGTATAAAAGCACTTATTTCTTTTTATTGTTAATAGCCATGCTAAAACCCAAGGGAGTATACAGCTCACATACAGAACCATGAAGCATTTTAAGCTCATTTCCAGTAACAACTATTGCTATCCTGAGTTTTTTTTTAATGAATATTTCTGGTCAGACACATATAACAGACAAAATGTGAGTTTCTTCATATCCTATTAAAGCTGAAGAGCTGAACCAATTAGCCAGCTGCCACAAAATATGGATGAAATTTGAAGTCTGTATAATTACGGCGAGCTGTTCTTTTGTTTTTTCTTTATTTTCTTAATTTTATTGTCTTTTATTTTTATTCATTTGGCAGTGGCAGGTTTGGTTTTTAGTTCCTGTCTTTATGTCAGAGTGTATATGAGCAAATCATTATTTGTGACTACTGTGAATAAAAATGTTATCATTTTTTATAGATAGCTGATAAATACTAACAGCTGAAAAACTGAATGAATGTTAAGTGAATGAAGGAAATTTATGAAATTTATTTATGAAAATGTCCAAATCATTTGTCATTAGTAAGAGTGACATGAGGGTGCTTATACATTGCTTACCTGGGCAAACGATGGTAACAGGATGAGGAGAAGGCAAGCAAATGGAGGCAGTTTTGTGCTCCTGCCAATGTTGTACTGGGAAATCCTGCGATCTGACTTTCATGTGGACGTTGCTTTGACATGTACTGCCCACCTTCTCTTCACAGCAGCAGCATTTCTTGATAGCAGTGCACCCACACGGTGGTTTGAAGGCTATGGAAAAGAGTTCAAGGTGTTGATTTGGACTCCAAAATCCCCAGAAGTCCAGTCTGTAGTCAAGTTCACAGACCACAGGACAACTTCAGAGCTCTTGTGGATTCTGTACCTCAGCGGGTCAGGGCTTGAAAGCACAAGGGGACTTACACAGATGATTGATGGATGCACACTGAAACACTCTTACTTTAGTGCAGTACGCATGGAAACAAAAGTACTGTAACTTTATTGGACTTCCCTTCAAGTGCAATATTCAGTGTAACATTGTCACTGTGATCATCAAAAACCTTTTATAGAAGTCATGTGATTGATTTAGACTATAGGTGTCAAACATAGGACCTGTTGGCCAGACCCGCCTTGGCAAAGGGCTGAACAGCACTTGTACTTAAAGAAAAGGGAGCATGGTGTATGTGTAGATAAAATTATTTAGGGGAATCGTTTTTCTGTTATCATCCACTTGGATTGTACAGATTGGATTGTATTTGGACAAGGAACTAAAAGGAATTAGATTGTATATAAGGGTATATAAGGGTAAAACTTACGGCAGAGGTAGCCTGAAGATAGCCTGAAGTTTCACAACCCAGTGGATGAATATCTGATTTCCCAAAAAGCTAATTCTGTTCATCTGGACATACAGTTGTTTGTATGTGTGTGTTTTGGATGAATAAGTGTTTTAATCTGTCTTTTGTATAGACCTAATTTCCATTTTTAGGTAGCATACAGAATGTTTTTTCTTTCTGTTAAAAGGGAGTTTTCCTTCCCACTCTCGCCAAGTGCTTCCTCATAGAGTATTGGGACTGAATGGGTTAACAAGTCTGAAACTGAAGGAATGCAAAGTAAATGGAGGTTAGAGGTCAGCATTGGGATTCATTACTAAAGCATAAGTGGTCAATTCTGAATGACTACTGTCTTCATTGCATGTTTAATTTTCACAAAACATTCCCAATCAATGCTGAAATTTTGCTGGTGTGTCATTATTGCAACAGAAGAGAAACAGATTTTCATGTGTGTACTGTATACTCTCTGTCTGATATTCATCAAAATAATAATAAAAAAAATCAACAATTATTTAAAATATTTTTAAGTCTTTCAAACAAAAAACTCATGCAAACTATATATAATTGTATTTATATAATATAATTGCACTGATCCCTTTAATTATTTCAATAAATAAAAACGCTACAGATGTGTTGAATTTCATTTTGCATCATATCTGTGCATCTGTGTTTTACTCGCACTAAAAGGCGAAAGAAGCCACTAAAGAGAGCTCTACGTTACTTGAACAAAAACAGAGAATTTGCCAACCTTGCCCTGTTTTTCAGTCATACTCCAAACAGGAGGAGGTGCCCGGCCACACATTGTAATCTCTCATTGGAGGAAAGCGGTGTCAGTCGAAGCTACTGGTCGGTGTGGATCCGCATCAAGCGTACGCAATAACATCTGCGTCAAGACAACCAGAGACAGACCCAACAATAAAACACCATATGCTGCCCAAAATAAAACCACCCTAGCAGTTTACTTTTCTAAATAAGTATTTTAGTGGCTTATTATTGTTTGAAAGCGATAAGAAGTAGTGGAACTACTAAATCTTGAAATACCTTGAATTAATTTTGGTTCCACAAACATGCCTTTTAGCGTTGCTTTCGTGCAATATCGATTTTTACAAAAAGCTTTGCCAACCAGGAGATTTATTTTGATAGTACTTGGCGGAAGCTGCAGTTTTACTGTGGTGAACTTGACCCCCTGCGCCTTCGTCATCATCCGTACACACGGCGGCGACAGGAGCTCCTGTATCGGCAGGGACGGGTCTCCCACCGCTATTCTCTGTCTGTGCGGAGGAAAAACACTGACAGAGAAGAAAGACGACCGCGAATTTCCTCCACGAAGCTCCCTCTGGAAACTCCGATGGATTAATTTGATTTTTCTGCGGTGAGCGCGCTTTTCTTTTTCTTCTGTTGAATTTCAATTGGTGCGCCAGCCTTGTCCCCTATTTTGCGCTGTGGAAAGCGAGTTGAATTCATCTCGAGAGGGAGAGAGGCAGAGAGAGCAGATGAGATAAATAACACATTTTGAGTGGCTGCAGTCACGCCAATCTTTACTCCGAGTCTTCCTCGGAGGGCTGGCTTTGTGTGGTTTGCGTAAACATTGCCCTCGTTGAGGAAAAGACTGGGAGAGCGGTGATGGTGACTGTGGATGATGTTTTGCAGTGATTCTGGAGAGGGGGCTCTTGTGTTGCAGCAGGGATGGATGCGCTGCAGAACAGAGCTGACCACTGAGGCCATGCACACACACACACCTAATAAACGCCAGGCTGGCCTTCGGACAGCCTCTTAATTGTTTACCTCCACAGGAATTATCATATGCTTTGAGTTAATTGCATTGCCACGCTGCTAAACATCCAATTAAAGCTGTTCCAGTCGGGTTATCTCATGTGTCTGGAGGTGCAGCCATCCATCTTGTGAGCAAACACTGGGGATGATATGTGTGAGCTAACCCCACTGTTACCCATGTGCAATAAGTTAGTCAGCAGTTATTGTTTTGGTTGTTAAATTGTTCAGTCAGCTCCCTGAAGGCCTGAGTTCAGCCTGCCTATGAATGAGTGCACAATTGGTGTGCATGGTATGTATTAAATTTGAATGAAAGGAGTTGGATGTTGTGCTTCGTGGACCGTGCACTTTTCCCCCTTCAGGCTCTCTCTCCCTTATACATAGTTCAACCTGCTGGCTCATAATCTGCCAAACCTGAAATAAGTTATAAAGAAATGCAGATGCTTTTCAAAATAAGGCTCAGTTGATAACTTTAGTTTAAGACCATTTTGTTGGTTTTTAAGATTTTTGGAAGGTGTTGGTTTGTTTTGACATCTACTGTGATGATTATCATTGTAAAATTAATCTGTCAAGCAGCAGAAAATAAATTAGCACTTAACTGTAAAATCATCATTAAGCCACATTTGA